CGTTTTATGAAGTAATGCATGAAAACTATATGATATTTGCATAATTTCTTTGTTAATTTGATCAGGGTCGTACCTTTGCCAATTCCTTTAAGGAAGTGATTTTTGGCACATCTGGTGAAGAGAGTATGCATCAGTGAGAGAAAACCGATTTGGTCATCTTGCTTCACTCAGGTTTAACGATTGACATTAAACCCGTGGTCAATGGATTGGAAAATAGAATTTAGCAACCGACCATCGTTCGAACCCAAGACCAATGAAGGTGGTCTGATAATAAACTTGCTTTCCGCCAACCATCTTTTTTTGATTCTAAATAGACCAATTCAATTGAAAACCCACATCACAGTAAGGCTCCCACCTCATTTGGTTATTACAAAATTCTAAATCGATACCAAAACTTATTTAAAACTTACTTCAAAGTTGATACTTAATATAATCTATTTCATTTCTGTCATGTTATTATACCATCCTTACCCTTCACATTCATTAAACCATTACCAGGTATATTGCCCACATGTTTTCTTTTTTAATGTACAGACGATGAAATTCCCAAGGATTGAGAATGAGAGCGATTATTGGTCAATCGTTAGATTGAATAATGCTGAAGCCTGTTTTAATAAACTCTGAGGTCAATTTGAGCACGGCAAACAGGACGTAGATGAAAGTACGAGCGAAAATACCTATGCGCTGGCCTCTTCTCATATATTAACTACAAGATTGAAACAAAGCATGCAAACGAGACTCTAACTTGTATTAAGACGGGATATAGCGTAATAGGTTCGGAGCAATACATAGTGTATTTAAGTACAAATAAATTTCTTGGAGGGGGGTATGCGATAGACTCACCTCCACGTGGTGCACCCTGGGCAACTTATACTCATACGGCAAAAAGGTCAATTAACTGGCAGTTGACTTCTCACTTCAAACTACCAGTCTATCAACCGGCAGTTGACTTCTCACTTCAAACTACCAATCAGCCCGACTGCTTGTCATATTCAACCCCTTCAACAGCACTCCCCTTACTCCATGCCATATTCGACTATTTTCACAGTACTCATCTCACCTTTTTCCTACCTTTGTGTTTGTCTCTTACATCTTTGAAACACTCCTCTCTTCCCCCTCTCGATTTTTGTCACTTTGATGTTCTTTCTCCTCTGTGAAGTCTGAAGTCAACTAAAGGACTAATGATAACCATCAAGACGCCTGCCATTTGATATAAATAAATTTCTTGGAGGCGTTTGGCACTTGTAATTGATGCTATGCAAGTAGGGCTTAATTAAACCTCCGCAACCGCTATGACCAAATCCCCTTGAGTGAAATTGCTTCAGACGTTCGCTAACCTACCTCAAAAAATATCGGTTGGAGTGAATAGTGTACGTTCTGATTGTGTGTCCTTGGCAGAGATTAATAAGTGGAACTCTATTTTAGTTACAAAGGCAATTTAGTGACAATTGACTTTTGGTTGGGTGAAAGGTTTATGCACTCACGCAATCGGTAGCATGGCCGTAATTTCTCGATTGTTGGTTCAGTCATGTCAACACCCTAATTGAAAAGGTGTCAAGAACAAAACGTAGAATGATTGCTTACGCCAAAAAGAAATACCTTTTCTTAATAAGCCAACTCATTTTCATTTTACGTTGTTTAATAAAAAGATATTAAATCACCTTAAGAATCCAATATATTAAGTTTGACTTAATTATAGTCACATCTTTTATTGTCTCATTACCTTGTTTAATGATAAATTATTTGGTGAATTTTGAAGCAACGTCAGAAAAAATTTCGATTCAGTTACTCGAGACCCATTTAGAGAACAGCCACATCGTCTTGACAAATGACAATTAAGTTTCCTATGTCGATAATAGCACTTTATATTCTGTTACATGGGGTGTGCGATAGACTTAAATCCACATGGTGCGCCCTGGGCAACGTATACTCATACGCCAAAAAAAAGTTTATTAATCGGCAGTTGACTTCTGACTTCAAACTACCATCACCTCACTCTATGCCATATTCGAATACTTCCCCACTACTCACCTCACTCTATGCCATATTCGAAATCTTCCACAGTACTCACCTCACCTTTTTCCTACCTTTTCTAAGCCTCCACAGTACTCATCTTACCTTTTTCTCTACCTTCGTGTCTTCCCCACTACTCACCTCACCTTTATTCTACCTTTTCTAACTTCGTCTTTGAAACACTCTTCTGTCCCCCCCCCCCTATCGACTTTTTTCACTTTGATGTTCCTTCCCCTCTGTGAAGCCTGAAGTCAACTAAAGGGCTAATGATAACCATCAAAAACGCCTGCCATTTGATATAAATAAATAAATATTCTGTTGCATCTAACACGTTGGCTCGTCTGTGTATATTAATAACGGATGCTTTCAAGTTATCTCGGTCAGTATTTTTGAGAGATTTTGAAGTAGAATGATATATTATGTTGTTGGATATTTACTATTTACATCAACGGACAAGTGTTCTACTGGTGTGAGCGAATCCAACCTGATGATGCAGCGACCGAGGTGATTGTTTTGAGTCATAGATCTCGAGCATCTCGTTCTTTGATGAAGGTCAAGTCAGCTATGTCAGAAAGAAATCTAGAGCCACTTGGATTGGCATTCGAATTCTTTAGGAAAAGATATATATATTATATGGCAGTAGTGACATAATAGTAGTAGAAAATCGCTCAAAATATGGTTGCTCAAATTACAGTTTAAACCAGTTTAGGTTACATCTTGGAATTTCGTTCTCTAGAAGACTTTTAACCAAAGTGGAGGTTCGTTCTTCAAAAGGCAGATCTCATAGCGCGTCTATTCGTATATCGTTTAAGTATCTTATGTGTTACGACCAAATTGCAAATTGTTAAATTACTATTGTACCACGGGTGTCTCAAGAGGAAGTAGCTGAAGAATAATTTTTGGATGGTGGCAAATTTGCGATCATCGAAAGGGAATTATGGCTATATTCAAAGGTAAGTCAGTCTGTAGTGATCTTTTCAAGACATAAGTAATTTAAGTGAATAGAAACTGAGGTAGTATATTTTGTGTCATAATACCCACTTAACATTTTAATCTCCATTGTTACGAATTCAACTTCATTTATATAAACATGACTTTTATGCCGACTTTATTTAGTTATTACATAATATTGAAATCAAATGTCATTGATATGCCACACCATGGCGAGGTTAAACCATTATTCATTGATTGGTCCATTGTTTGACCAATCACTTTCTGAGATATCTCATCATAATAAATGTCCGATATCTAGGCTGATGAAGTCTGGTTAACTAATCCTCTTTTTGTTCTAAACAACTTTAAGCTCAAAATAATAGGAATCAATCAAGAAAGGCTTGGTCCCCTTCAGATAAAACCTCAAAATTATATCTGTGGGGATCCGGAATCTTCAAGCTTCTCACTCCTCTTTTCCACCACAATTATCCTAGGTGGTTGGTTACCCTCAGCTACACTACACCTTCAAAATAATTTTTTATTAATCCTATCTACAGTAAAAGTATAGAAACTGGTCTTAGACATTCTTGTAATTTGATTTATTAAAAAAATTATACTTGTGAGTTCAAACCGACTTTCTTACAACTGAAGAACTCTCTAGATAAATCTTAATTGCATTTCTAATTGTCAAGAGCAATAATATTTATTCTTGTGAAGATGTGCTTACGGTAAGTTAGATGTACTTTTAACGACGAGTAAAAGAAAGTATGCAAATGTAATTGGTGCACAAATCTAAATTAATGACACAAATTTTTGCAGGTTTTCATAAGCTAACTGTTGATCCTAACTTTAGATAAGAGTGTGAGACACGTTATCGCTCTGTGCGTCATCGTATGCCTCCATGTCTGCTCGCCAGGATTGGGAGGTGTGCAGCGACCGTACAAACAGTGACCAATCATTAACCTCTGTTTAACCTAATCAGCCATCCTGATCATGATTAGGCCCCCTACGTGTACACTTGATACGGAATATACGTCCTGAATAAACGTGCTCCGTGCTACACGTCTCTTTCCTTTATAGCTGGGCTATAGCTTAGCTAGTTCTGGGAGTCTAGCTAGATGTTGGAGAATCTGCCATGGAGATTTCTGAGTCAGTCAGGCTTTACTAAGGTAGCAATCTGCTACAAGAGTGCATTCTAACACCCAATGCTAATGGCGTTTGAAGCCTTCACTGGGTTAACAAATAATAGCAAATACTCTTTAAAATTCTTTTTACACACACAAACCATGATTTTCTGTTTGAGTAAAAGGTTTTCTGATAGCACGCGCGTTTTTGTTAAGCGAGGTCCCAGTAGTAGTTCAATTTGATAAAATGGTCCCTTCAACTCCAGCAGATTCCTCGGCTACCAATCCTCAAGCTAAATCAGGAATCAACTTCATTTTCTGACCCTTCAAAAATAGCCTAATGTCATCGCATAAACACTTTCCAGGTCAAGTTACCAATATACTCATTGCCAACTCTCATTTCTTGATGAAATGTAATCAATAAATGAAAATGGTTGATGATTTAATTGATAGAACGTTTACAATCATTCGACTCCTAAAAAAATCCATTGGGCCAAAATAAAATATAATTCCTGTTAGATAGTTCAAGTGTTATCATTATTACATGTACCAATTATGACCTGATTTAAATATAATTAAGTGCAAGGTTTGTTCACAATTAACCCATACTGATTAAATATGCTAACGACAATTTGATTACACGGTAATATATTTATAATGAATTTAAATTGAATTAACGTTAGACACAGAAAGTGTAAGTGTTGTTGCAGGATCAATAATGAGAAACTAAATTTACAAATACAGTGACAATATCCTTATAATGATGACTATTCAATGGAATAACATGAATAATTGGGAAATATATTCTATTTAAAGCATCGACTTAAATAAAAATGTTAATTCGAGTTTTCAAGTGATATTATTTGCAAAAGACATGTTGTATTGTATTTATAAAATAGTATTAACGAACTGATAGAGTTAAGAAGAGCCTTAGAAACACTTTCTATGGACAATTCCAGGCCCCATTTCATCATATTCCTCCTTGGTCACAACCATGTCATTGAAAGCATTTAGTGAACCGAGAATAGAAGCACCGATCCAAGAAGCGAAGTTCCTCATATCTGAACCTATTACTTTGACTTTGACATTCCTTGGAACCTGTCGGGCAATTTCCATTTCGAGGCGTGGAATAAGTCCTTCAAACATTGTGCTTCCACCAGAAAGAACAATGCTCTTGTACATTGATCGACGAAGATCAACATCACAACCTTCTATAACACGGTAGGCTACATCATGGATTCCAGAGATTTCGCGTCCAATAAGTTCAGGGATGAACAACACTTCAGGACTCTGGAATCGCTCTGTTGAAACTTGAATGAGTTGGCCATCAGGCATTTCATATTGTCTTTCAATGCTTGGATCCATCTGTGATCTTTCATACTCATCATTTACATCCATGGCAACATAACAGAGACGTTCTTTGATATCACGAACAACCTCTAATTCGGCCGACGACACAAGGCTATGGCCTCTTTTGAGCAAGAGATTCTTCAAGTAATCAGTAATATCCCGACCAGCAAGATTCAGTCGCACTACTAAATGATCTAGTCCGTGACCATCGTAAATGGGTACCATATGTGTAGCCCCATCACCAATATCTAAAACAGCTCCAGTAGTTTTTCCAGAAGAGTACAAGGACATGATGGCCTGAATGGCAATGTAAAGACCAGGAACATCGAATTTCTCGAACATCACCTCACACATCCTCTCTCGATTACTTCTTGGATTCCTGGGGGCTTCCGTAAGAAGGCAAGCCTGATCTTCCGGTCTCACCCTAAGCTCATTGTAGAATGTATGATGCCAGATCCTTTCAATATCATCCCAGTTCTTGATGACGCCATTCTCAACTGGATACTGAAGAGCTAGAACACCTCTCATTTGTTGAGCAGCGTCTCCAACGTAATATTCTTGTCTTTTTACTCCAAGCATCATTTGTGGGTTTTTCGGACGTCCTATAATAGAAGGGAATATACTAATAGGACTATCTTCTCCAGCAAAACCGGCTTTGCAAAGTCCAGACCCAACATCAATAACTACGGCAGGATTACTGTTCATGTTGCAGTAGATAAGACTCCTACCTGCTAAGTGCTCCCGCTTATAAAGAGAACTACCTTGAGGGTGATGCAAGAATGAGATCTAATTAGGCAAGTGCCATTCACTTCGCTCCGAGGGTATGTGGGCTCAAGAGACGTGAGTAATCTATCGATCCACAACATTTTGTCTTTAATTTAGGAATCGCATTGGTATTTCTCGTGAAATTGTGAATGTTTATGTGATTGCCACCATATGTGCAAAAAGTATTCAGGTAACTTGGCATCGGTTCGTATAAAATCACACAGAGCCTAGAAAACTCTACTAAAATCTCCCAGATAAATTTTTGCTGCATTTCACCTTTACTGGAAGAATATCATTCAAAACCACTCAAATTCTTTTCAATTATTTTCCTTATTTTGATTTTCTTTACAATTGGACAGTTCTGCATTTAACCTCACAAATGACGTCTTTTTAAAACTCTTGTGGCAGTACTCGTTACAATATGAATCAGAGAGAAGATGTCTACGAAGAAGAAACTTAGTTTTAACCTGTGAAACGGGAAATAACATAAAGTTCATGACCATGTCAGAATGACAGTCAAAAGCATATTCATTTGTACCAAACGGAGGGCTTTATGATATTAGGTTGACAACTAAGTCATTGCTGATTTCAAATAAGAAGGCAAATTCGGAATTTTTATTTAAAAATATAACTTTATTCAATTAGATATTGGCCGTTCTTGTCGATGACCTTTTCCCTTCGTTCTGGCAGAGTAAAAATTCCCCGTTCGTAAAATGTCTGGTCTTTGCTATTAAAAAACTGAATTAGGTGTGATCCGACATCATCCGCGTTGTTAAAAATTTTACCATTTAAAGAGTTTTGCATGCAACGAAACAAATGGTAATCCGAAGGCGCAAGGTCAGGGCTATATGGTGGGTGTGACAAAACATCCCAACCCAGTTCCAATAATTTTTGCCGAGTAACCAAAGATGTGTGGGGCCTTGCGTTATCATGATGGAAAACAACACCCTTCCGATTTGATAATGCCTCTTTCAACATACACATTTGAATTTATCGTTTGGTTCTGCGGCATGAGTTCAAAATACAAAATTCCTTTGTGATCCCACCACACTGACAGCATAATCTTTTTTGGAGAATCTCTGCTTTTGATACTGTTTGGGCTGGTTGATCTTGCTTCACCCATGATCTCTTGCGAGTAACATTGCTATAAACTATCCACTTTTCGTCGCCAGTAACTAGGTTCTTCAGAAATGGATCATTCTCATTGCGTTTCAGTAGTGGCGAATCACAGATGCTAATCCGTTGCGTCAAATGAATTTCATTTAACTGGTGAGTGATCCATAAATCAAGTTTCTTGACATAACCAGGGGTTTTTAATTTTTTTTCAATGCATGTATGTGACACATTGAGCTTCTCTGCAATATCTCGTGTTGTGCTGTGACGATTTGAATCGATAATGGCCTTGATATGGGTTTCATCCACTTTGACTGGGCGGCCAGATCGTTGTGAATTTTTCAGTGAAAAATCACCGCAACGAAATCTTTCAAACCAATCTCGACACTGCCTTTCTTTTAAGGCTTCATCTCCATATACGGCACATAACTTCTTTTGTGCTTGCGATGCGTTCTTGCCTTTTCGGAAGCAATACAATAAAATGTGTCGGAAGTGCACGTCCTGTTCTTTCATTTTTAAATTGAGATAAAAACAAAACTAAAGAACTAAACAAAAAAACTTTTTACTAATTAACCTAGAAGATCATACAGTAAGAAAAAATATAGGTTAGATGCTCTGGCCACGTTAACAAAACAAAAGAAAGTATAGAGTGAATCTGTCAACAAAAACAGCAATGACTTAGTTGCCAACCCAATAGATATCATTAGCCCCTTAGCTGACTTCGGGCTACATAGAAAAGGGAAATGGAAAAAGTCACAAAAGTGGAGAGGGGAACAGAAGAGTAATTTCCAGGCTTAAAATAGAAAGACGCTATGGTAGAGAAATAGGTAAGGTGAGTACTCTGGAAGTTGTGGAATATTACATACAGTGGGACCATGGTAGCTTTGAAGTCAACTGCAGATTAATAGACTTTTTTGCCGAATAGGCATTTGCTGACTAAGGTACACCACGTGGAGGTAAGTCTATAAATGACGTCTAGATATGCAGAAACGAAAAAAAAAATACGTTCATTCAAAGGTAGAATGAGATTGTTTAAAATTAGATCAAACAACTGGTATTAAAGACATATTTCAAACAGTAAAAAGACAGTCCATTATTCTTTATCATATCTTTGGGATAAGCCCACAGCCAGTCACGTTTTTAAGTCACCACGCATAGAATTGTTTCATACTATACCTGGCTGTGGCTATGGCTAAATGTAGATTGAATGATAAACACGAAGCAGTGTTTGTCCTCCTCATATTTCACTTGGAAAGAAAGCCCTTGGCATTATTTGCATCTCAAAAGGCTGTAACTAGTGTTAATGATTGCCCATGATTAAAATCGGAACCACAATGCACATAATCAAAACAGCATTGAAAAGCCTATCCTTGCCATTGTACTCAAGTGAATCGGCAATTGTTATGATTATTTCACATTTAGGCAGATTTCAGCACAATCATAGCAGATTACTGTCAAATTCATGATCATATAAGGATCCTACTTTCTCCTGATACTGACTTGTTCTTCATTATTAAATTGTTAATGTCAATTTGCAAAAATATGCAACAGCAGAATATTATGAATAAATTCGCAAAATTTTAGTAATTTTTCCAACATCTAATTCCGACGAAAGTATTGAGATGTATAAAATTCGTAAAGAATCGATTTAAAGACAATACTTTGGCGAAAATTTTGCAAGGGAAGGTATCACAATTTTTTTCAGACAAAAAATACAAATGATGGACAAATGGCAAGGCTTGAATAGTGGATGGGACGTGGATGCTATGCAAGGGCTAATTTTTCTTAGCTTGGTAAATATGAGATAATAATTTATATCAAATGGCAGGCGTCTTGATGGTTATCATTAGCCCTTTGGTTGACTTCAGGCTTCACAGAGGGGAAGGAGCATCAAATTGAAAAGTCGATAGGGGGGGGGGGGACAGAAGAGTGTTTCAAAGATGTAAGAGACAAACACAAAGGTAGAAAAAATGTAAGAAGAGTACTGTGAAAATATTCGAATATGGCATAGAGTGAGGTGATGGTAATTTGAAGTGAGAAGTCAATTGCCAGTTAATAGACTTTTTTGCCGTATGAGAATACGTTGCCCAGGGTGCACCACGTGGAGGTAAGTCTATTGCGCACCCCAAGAAGTCAGCAACACCGGGTATTCCCAGCCGGTCATCCATGCAAGTACTAACCCTGCCCGACGTAGTTTAACTTCAGTGATAGGATGAGAACCGGTGCTTTCTACGTGGTATGGTCGCTGACATATGAGATAATAATACACCGACCAGTTTACAAAATTGGTATTATTCGAGTTGTATCAAAGGTCAATTGTTTAAGCAAAACAAAAAGCGTCAGCGCGTCAAGCCATTTCTTCTTTTTAAACTCCAACCAAATTTAATGAGTACAAATATCTTCCTTAGCTAAAAACCGGTTCGATTCTGCTGTAATGCTAAAAATGTCTGGGCATACCTCTGTGAACCAACATTACCGTATTATGATAGCCTGAATCGCATGATAGAGGGAATCGATATATTAGGCTTCTTCAACAATGTCTCACTGTGGAAAAGGGCGATCTTTCCACGTAAGCGACTTTTGTAAGTCTATCCATTACCTTCCTACTAGTACACCGAGCATGCTCTTGCGCGTTGATCAGGTTGATAGTCCCTTGCCTGACCAATCAGGTAGTGCCGGAACTTCGCGACCTTGGGCTACTTTTTCCCCCCCTTGACAATATCCCATGCAATGAAAGACTAAGCGTCAGGGAGATTGCAATGTCACGATTACTTTATATCTCCCCATTTCAAATCGCCTCCCATTATTTTCCGTGAAGAGAAGGCAACTGTGCTTCAATATGCAAATAATATATTTCTTTATTCCCATAAATAGACCTTCATATGTCTTTTATAGGTTTGATCTGAGCATTTTTATCAAGATAGTTATAACACTGAACCCCTTCAATGCCTAAAATTTTGGCATATAAGATCTTCCTCAAATTACTTTTATAAGATTATTTATTTGTATCCGTCCCAGCTATTAAATTCACTAAATGCGATTAACAAATGCATATATTATTAGAATTCCCAAATATAGTGTCATGCTCATGTTAGTTTCAGGAATGATTTTGGCGCAAATAATGTGAGTAGTTTAATGCGTAAGATATATTATGCCAAAACATTAAGATGTCAAAATATGACCAATGGAATTTATATAAAAATGTGTTTTGTTATTATTGGCACCTTACAAAGTTGGAATTAGACTACCTCCCTCCCCCCACATTTTTGTCTTTCGAAGCAAAATAACGACCTGGTTGATTAACTGGCGGTACTCTAACTCGGTCCAACTCTCTCCATATCAGATAACTGGAAGTCAAATCAGGTTCAAGTGTCTTCGCTATCCTTTATTTGGATCGTGATCTGCAAATATGATCTGTGAATAAGTCAAACTTAACTATCAAAGTGAACGGCAGTAAGTGTCGGAAGGTTGGCTAGTTTATACGGGCTGCCTGAGATAGAAGTAGGTAAAATACATCATCAAGTCATCGAATTCTTACGTAAGAAGTACCTATCAGAAACCTAGGGAACACATTCTGAAGTCAGAAATTTGCAGCGTTGGACAAATGCAGCCCCACGAAATCCAGTTTCGTCTACGCCTCGTGTTTAAAAGCCTTCCGTACATTCGCCTCGACGGTAGGCAGGAGTTCAATTCCTGTCACTTGAATAGCATTCACCGATGTCAATCACCTAGCAGCATCGGTTAGTTCAGTGGATGCACTCCCATGGCATTTTTAAGTTAGCAATGATCTTAATTTTCAGGAAATACTCCCTATTTTCAATAATGTA